GAGAGAGAGAGAGAGAGAGAGAGAGAGAGAGAGAGAGAGAGAGAGAGAGAGAGAGAGAGAGAGCCAGGGAGAGAAGAGTCATCTGCCTTAGATGAGGATGCTGGTATCGAGTTGCTGAATTCTGCGCGGTTGAGCGCTTCGAGACTGGATCTCCGAAACTTTTTAATGTGATATAATTTGTTGGAATTTCTAAGCTGCACATATCTGGACTTTGCATCTCTGGACTCCAGTGTGGATTTCGTCTGATCTCTCAATGTGCGTGTGTGTGCTTTAAGGTGTTGGGCAGTGAGGCCCAATGCATAAGCTTAATTGAAGTTTATTATTATTCGAGTGAAGGGTGAAGGAAAGGAAAAGGTCCCCTGACAAAGATATAAGCCTGCCGGTGGAACAGGAACTGGACCCAAGAGGGTCTGTCTTTTGACAAAACTTAAAAAAAGACATATAGCAGATGCAAGAGGGTACAGGAGGAGCTTGGCCCAAGAGGGTCCGTCTTTTGACCAAAATAAGAAGTGGAAGAAAAAAAGCAAGCCTTGTGAGACTGCACCTCGGCCTCTCCGCATGCAGGAGGCACAAATCATGCAGTCGGGCATCTGCACGTCCTCGCGCCTATTTTAGATTTTAACTTTTTAGGCACTCACAAATCTGAGAGGGCTGATTATTTACTTCTCCCCCTTCATTAGAGCCTCCCTGTCCCCAAACTGTTGGGCTCTTTAATCTGCCAGTTCAAATCGACAACTCCATTTTATCTTTTTGGGAGCATCATCCTGGCTTACCTTTCCCCCCCCCCCCCCCCTTTTTACCCTGGTTTGAGCCTGGTTCACTTTTCACTGGTAGGTTGGAAAACATGCTAAGGCTGCAAATAAACCCTGGAGGTAGAGCCCTGTGATTGAGGCTGTCAGTAAGTCCAAGCGGGATGTGACCGCTACTGATTTGCGGAAGTCGGATCTGTGCGAAACCTGATTTGACCGAAGGCCGATTTCGCCCAAGGCTGATGTGGCCTAAGGTGGATGTGGCCCAAGGCTTATTTGGCCCACACCTTACTTGTCAGCAAGCCTGATTTGGCCTGAAGGGAGTTTTAGGCCCCATGGCAGATTTCAGAGGCTGGTCTGGGTAGAGGCAGGCAGACTTCTGAGGGTGTCCTGCTCCTTGCTTGCGACGAAGGAGTATTCTTTTTGTTTTTGCTTTGAAGGTCTTTCTGCCTGAAAGGGTCCGTTAGCATTGAGTCTTGGCGTCGTGCTCAAAGGTGGAACTATTCGTCTGTTCCTTTTTGGGATGTATCTGACCGTGATTACGGATAAAGGAAACCATTCTGCTGTTTTACAACACTATGTGTTTTGATCGTAACACCTTAATCTGAATTCAGGTTTGATATAATGGGAAATCTGTGTATCCATTTTCTTCTCCTGATGTTAAACGCAACTAACTATCAGAGAACACAAGACACATAAATAGGTAAAAAATACCATTTTGGCACTATGTGAGCTGGAGTTGACATAGGATTTGCAGGTGTATAATTGTCAGGATGTCCCAATACGTTAGGATGGGTGTTCCTGCCCTTTTTTCTATAGGTGAAGGGGAAAGTCAGCTGTAATCGAAAAAAAGAGTTCAATCGAAATTGCCTCCAGGCATTTTTATGTTGTATGTAGAGTTTCCATCCTTTCTTCCACGTGAAAAACTCTCCTGCTCTTTTCTTGGCTGCATTACATCACATGTCCTCTCCCTGAACTGCAGTTGCATGATGGTGTGTGTGCCTGTATGTGTGTGTGTGTGTGTGTGTGTGTG